CCTCTAGAGGCCCTTGCATGCTCAGAAATAAGGGCCAGCTGGCAAAAGCACAAAAAGAATGTCTAATCTTGCTCCTTTTGCCTAAGAGAGTGGCTCTCAGCCTTCCCAGCTTTTATCCCTTTCACAGGTCTGATTTATCTCACGTGCCCCGCATTTTACCTCGCTTGAAAACGAATGACTTGCTTACAGAAATCAGACCTAAAAATGAGGCCCTTGCATGCTCAGAAATAAGGGCCAGCTGGCAAAAGCACAAAAAGAATGTCTAATCTTGCTCCTTTTGCCTAAGAGAGTGGCTCTCAGCCTTCCCAGCTTTTATCCCTTTCACAGGTCTGATTTATCTCACGTGCCCCGCATTTTACCTCGCTTGAAAACGAATGACTTGCTTACAGAAATCAGACCTAAAAATACAAAAGTGCCACAGCCATACTATTGCTGACAAATAGTTGACGTTCTGATTTCTACCATCTGCTACCTATCTGAGCGTTTAAGTGCCTATCTGTCCATCCCTCTGTTTGTTCAAGAACTCCTCCTACATGGTAAGAGCTGGGACCACCAAATTTGGGAGGCAGCTTCCTCTTACCATAACTTAAAGCCAGGTCAGGGTTTGGTTGTGCCAGGACAATGGGGTGTGCCTGGAATGGGACTGTTTCTCATCAAACTGAAAGGGAGGGGTCTGCTAGCAGGCAGTGTTATACTAGATAAGGACCACAGGGGCCAGAGATGGGGACCGGGACAGCTATAACCCCTTTGGGGCAGCAGGGGGCAGGGGTGGAGAAAGGGACAACTACCACAGGTTGGGCCGGATTAAGTGGGGGGCTAGCCGGGCAGCTGCCCGGGGCACCAACCTTTGGGGGGCGCTTGATGGCAGCTCTAAGGGGCGCCGCACATCCCCCGACCCCAGGCACGTGGCGCCTGACGGCAGCTCTATGGCCCAGCTAGCCCCCTCCTTAATCTGGCCCTGTTGCCAGGGGCTACCCTGACCCTGTCCCAGTGCCACAGAGTATCAGGGGCTGCTGGTGGGCTGCTGCCAGCTACTGTCCTGTCCTGCTGCTTCAGCCTGGCCCCTCTTGGATTGCCCTCCTGCCACTAGGCTACCAGGGTTCTCTGATCCATGAACATCCATAGTCCTGCCAGACCACGGATGTTGCTGGACCAGAGAATTCCAGTTTTGGGAGGTGCAACCTGTATTTGTTGGAGAGAGTTTGTCTGTCTGTCTGTGTGCCTGTCTGTCCCCCATCTGGGAGACATGCACCCCCTCTCCCAGAGTGAAGAAAAAAAATTAAGTTCGGGACCTGAGCAATGCTGAGTAAATCCTCTAGTATACTTATAAAATAAATCAGTTGGAATAAAAATCCTGCACTTACATTTCAGTGTATAGTCTTATCAAGCGATATAAACGAGTCATGGTCTGTATGAAATTTTGGTTGGTACAGCATTCGCTAGTGCTTTTTATGCAGCCGGTTGTAAAATGCGACAAATATCTCGATGATATCTCTGGGTATCCCCAGGGGTACGTGTCACCCTGGTGAAGAACCACTGGCCTAGATATGTGTTTCCCCATCAAAAGCTTCATGAAATCCCTACACAAAGATCCACACCTTTCACACTCTGATGCCCTAGACTCAAAGTAAGTGTGTAATGCAACCCTGACTCTCTGTCCCTCACCAGTTGTGGCATTTTGTACAGGCAGCACCTTGGAGAAATATTCCTCTCTATTGACAACCTCTAAGGCAGGGGTGGGGACCATAAGGCCTGGGGGCTGGATGCGGCCTCTGGCTTGCCTCAATCCAGCCCCTGAGGTTCAGGGCTTCCCCCTATTTGTGGGGCTGGAGCACACAAAATCTACTAGCCTGGTATGTGAGGGAGAGGAGAACGTAGAGAATGTCTTTCATGCTTAAATTTGACACTTTCTGTATGGGTCTGATCAAAGCCTCTAATTATCTCACCCATTACAAAGATCGCTGCCCCAATTATCACCCCTTATGTCATTACCTCACAGAAACTTCCCCTATTATCACCCCTATGTCATAACCTCAGACACTAACCTTCCCCCCTCACCCCCACTCTGTTCTAAAATTTGATTTGTCAATTTCACATGCGTTCACTTTTTTGATTGTATCACTTGGGTACATATGGTTGTGCCGATTTTCTTCCACATATTGATCTGAGGAAGTGGGTCTGGCCCACGAAAGCTCATCACCTAATAAACCATCTTGTTAGTCTTTAAAGTGCTACATCGTCCTGTGTTTTGTTTCTCCTTCTCAGTCTTTCTCCTTTTCAGTGTGCGTGGCCCCTGACTGATTTTTCTCTGGGTCAGCAACCCCTGACCCAAAAACGTTTCTCCACCCCTGCTCTAAGGTGTGAGTGGGGAGGCAAAGAAGACACACATGAGCAATGGCCCCCAATACATTTCAGAGACCCCAATGATGCAAATCCATCCATAGCTTGTCTACCGAGACACTGCGCTGTGTGGGCGCAGAGCCCTGAACGAGAAGTAAGAAGTGATGGTGTTTACTCCCAGCTCTGACAGCAGCATGATGGGCATTGAGGTGCTGCCCTTCTCTGTGCCTCAGTTTCCCTCTGTAAAAATGAGGATAATGCTGCTCATCTATCTTTGTAAAGCACGTGGACATTTCTGGCTAGGATGGGCTTTGCAGCTACCTAATTTGATGCTTTGTTGGTCCGAAGCGATATTACACCATGGGAAGAGGAAGCTGGATAAATTCATGGAGGTTAGGTCCATAAAAGGTTATTAGCCAGGGGATAAAATGGTGTCCTTGGCCTCTGTCTGTCAGAGGCTGGAGACGGATGGCAGGAGACAAATCGCTTGATCATTGTCTTCAGTCCACCCTCTCTGGGGCACCTGGTGCTGGCCACTGTTGGCAGACAGGATACTGGGCTAGATGGACCTTTGGTCTGACCCAGTACGGCCGTTCTTATGTTCTTATGGGAAATTTCATCCCCAATTCCTCTTCCAGGAGACAAACAAGTTCTCCAACCACTATGAGGTTAGAAGAGCCAGTGTCTGACCCTGGGTTCTTCTACTAGCTGTGAGAGTAGAGTGGGAAGAAGCACCACACTTACTAAAAGAAGGGCCAACCAGAACAGATACTCACAGCCCAACCCTGCCCGTCCTGTTTGACTGTGGACTCTCTTCTATCCTGGGGGTGTTATTACGACACGCTCCTCACCGTAGCATCTGAGCACCTTGCAGTGACGCATGAAGTGGGGTGACTAACATAAGAATGGCCAGGCCGGGTCAGACCAAAGGTCCATCCACCGACAGTGGCCAATGCCAAGTGCTCCAGAGGGAGTGAACTGAACAGGAAACGATCAAGCGATCTCTCTCCTGCCATCCTTCTCCACCCTCTGACAAACAGAGGCTGGGGACACCATTCCTTACCCATCCTGGCTAATAGCCATTAATGGACTTAACCTCCATGAATTTATCTAGTGCTCTTTTAAACCCTGTTATAGTCCTAGCCTGCACAACCTCCTTAGGCAAGGAGTTCCACAGGTTGACTGTGCGCTGGGTGAAGAAGAACTTCCTTTTATTTCTTTTAAACTTGCTGCCCATTAATTTCATTTGGTGGCCCCTAGTGCTTATATTATGGGAACAAGTAAATAACTTTTCTTTATTCACAGCTCTGTCTCCTACATAGCTGAACTTTGCCCTGATGGTAAGAGGTTCCACTGGACCTGGGAAAAGGAGTTGTCAACCGCAGTCCCCATCCCGGATCATTCAGTCTCTTTTAAATAGGTTGGCGCCACTGAGGACCCCTCAAAATAAGGCCGGAGGCCATGAATGAGACTCGCCATTCTACAGGAAGCCAACGAGGAAGGAGAAAGGGGTTGATGTGCTCACAGGAATCTGGGCCGTGGAGGAGATGTGGAGCGAACTCTCCCCTGCTGCCTCCGGCAACGTGGGGTCCCATTCGTCTTTGGGGTCTTCCGAATGGCAGACCCAGCGCCGAGGGAAGGGATGGCCACTGGGGAAGTGGCTCTTGCCAGTTGCTAATTCTTGTGCTTTATAAGAGCTTCCGGTATTATTAGTTAGTACGCAGTCCAGCTGTTGAGAAAGGCGGAGCTGGCCCGGTGGGTTGGTTTCACAAAGTAATTTGGCAATGAAGTTAAAAAGAAAACAATAATATTACACGGCACAGTTGCTAGCTGGGTAGGTAGATGGCACCGAACAGGCAACACTGCCTCTTTTCAGCCTGGAATCATATGGTGTCTTACTGACCATGTCCAGAAGAAGTCACTCTCTACCAGGCAAACAAATGAAATCTGGCCATCTCTCCCAGCTAGGCATTCCTTGTTCTCACCGCTTGTGTTACGGGCTGTAGTGATGTGACGGTTCACAGACTCTAAAATTGCGTCTCTGCATTCACGTGGTTGAATTACATCCGTAGTAGTAGCTTCTGACTCCTACTCAACTCCGTGGAAGAGCCCTGTGTGGGAAGAATGTGGAGAAGACAATTAACGCAACAATCCATCGACAATCTATCCACAGATTTGCAGGGTTCTAGATACAGATGCAGATGTGGATACAAATTTTGTATCTAGAACCCTGCAAATTTGAGGCTATCCGCTTTCTATCCTCAGGTATCCACATCCACAGCTGTGAATACGGATATCCGCAGCTCGTTTTTGTGGAGACTGATGCTGATACAGATACATCATTTTGTATCCATGCTGGACTCTAGCTCACAAAAATGAGCTGCAGATATCCGTATTCACATCTGCAAATGTGGATACCTGTGGATAGAAAGTGGATATCCGCAAATTTACAGAGTTCTAGATACAACATTTGTATCTGCATCTGTATCTAGAACCCTGCAAATTTGTGGATAGCTTGTCGATGGGTTGTTGCGTGTCTTTGCAGGGCTCTACCCATGGCTCATTACCAGTTTCCTTGACCTCTAAAATCTTCATCAATTTTGTTTTAATTTAGAAATATTTCATTTCCACTGGGAAGGTAAAATTAAACTCCCCTTCTCTGCTCAATTTTGGACCTATTTTTAGGTGGCTCCTTTATCCCATTGTTGCAGAAGAGTGTTTCCACTGGACACGGATCCCTGAAAGATTTGGGTGATGAAAACAGAGAACCAGACATGAGGAGAAAGGAGCAAAGTAGGAGATAGAAGTGGCCATTCATGAGCCAGAAGATCCCTCAGGCCAGGGGCAAAGAGATGCTAATGCGTGTGATGCAATCAGCGTAGGACTTTCAAACCACAGCCCCCTACTTAAGCTCTGAAAATACAGCTCTTTCTTCCCTGCCTCTGTTAATCAGCTCCCACCCCATCCGCCAAAAGGACTTTTGCAATATCAGTGTGGGAAGGGGCAGCGTCACAGTCAAGCCTTTGCGTGACAGTCGAGTCCCTTTTGTTATGGCCATTATGAATGGTTTGTGCCTCTGTGCTTTCGGGAGGAAGCCATATATGGATAAAGCACATCTTGTGTAAACAGCTCCCAGGAGTTCTGTGCATGGCAGCAGTGGCCTGCCACCAGCACCCTCCCGAGACTGGAGTTATGTGGGACGGATGAGCAACACGGGACACGCTGGAATGAGTGATTCCTATTGTGTGACAGAGGTATAACTTTTTGTTACTCGGATCTATGTCATGTAACTCAGGCCAGGAAATAAAATTTCTTAACCACACTCTCGAGGGCATCACATCTGTGGTTCAGAGGAAATTCACAACACCAAGGGGCAAAAGGGATCAAGACGAGAAGACCGTTTCTAAGGGCATGTCTACAATATGCAGCTGTTAGTCGACACAACCCTGTCGCTAAAAGCTGACGTGTGTGAATGCTTTTTGTCGGCACTTTTGCTGGTAAAATACTTCCACTCCACAATCAACAGAGCAGCATTCAGACATGCACTTGCTGTGGCAAAACCTAGCCATTCGCTGGGGCGGGGGAGAGGGGGTACGTTTAAGCACCCATAAATAACAAACGTTTTGTCGGGGAAGTGCAGACATTAAACACAGTTTGTCACCATCACCTCTGTGTTTCAGCTGAGGTAGCTTGAACCGTGTTTGAAACCAGCCCTGGTAGCAAAGCCTAGAGTACAGGAGGCCATAAGGAACTCCTTCGAGAGCTGCTGAAATGGTTGACAAACTAAAGGTTTTGTTTTGCGAGCAATATTCTCCTACTGAATGTAACCAAGCATTTCCCAGTTCTCCTGTCATCGACTCTGGTTTGTTGCCCAAGAAGTTTTACTAAGCCCCCCATGTGTGAGCACTCTTAATCTTGTGCCTTCCTGAGGGCATCGCAGCCAGCTGTCCCCCTGAAGGATAAGAGGGAGGCATTTTCAACCAAATACAAGTCAGGGAGGCAAAAGACCAAAAGCAGTCTGGCAGGGGGGCTCTGCTTGGCTGCCCGGCCCAGGGAGAAATATTCTGGGACATCCATGGAATGTGTGTTATCGTGGGCTGAGGGAAAACAGTGACAGGCTGCAACTTCAAACAGGCCGGGAACCAGAGAGGCAGGATTTAACGCTCCTTTTAAAGGAACACACAGGCTACGTCTACACTGCAGGCTTTTTGCACAAGAACACTGTTCTTGTGCAAAAACTTGCCGGGTGTCTACACTGCACGCACGTTCTTGCACAAGTAAATTTACAGTACAGCGTCAGAAAACAGGGCTTCTTCCAGAAGAGTTATTCCTCTCCCCATGAGGAATAAGCCCTCTTGCGCAAGAGCTCTTCCACAAGAAGGCAGTGTAGACAGGCAACATGATTTTCTTGCCCTATGGCTAAAATGGCCATCAGAGCTTTCTTGAGCATGAGAGCATCCACACTGCCATGGATGCTCTTGTGCAAAAGCACATGGCAGGGTGGACGCGCTCTTGCACAAGATCTTTTGCTCAAGAACTCTTGCGCAAAATGGTTCTTGCGCAAGAAGCCTGCAGTGTAGACGTAACCACGATGTTCTGATAAGGAATTGCATTCAGAACAAAACTAATGGTCCAGCTACTCCAGTATCCCATCATCTGCCACTCTGTAACAGGCCAGTGGTCCATCTAATTGGATAATCCACCTCCTGCCAAATTAGACCAAAAATAGGCTGTGTCTACACTGGCAAGTTATTCCGGAAAATCAGCCGCTTTTCCGGAAAAGCTTGCCAGCTGTCTACACTGGCCGCTTGAATTTACGCAAAAGCACTGACGATCTAATGTAAAATCATCAGTGCTTTTCCAGAAAAATTATGCTGCTCCCGTTCGGGCAAAAGTCTTTTTCCGGAAAACTGTTCCAGAAAAGGGCCAGTGTAGACAGCACAGTACTGTTTTCCGCAAAAAAGACCCGATCGCGAAAATGACGATCGGGGCTTTTTTGCGGAAAAGCGTGTCTAGATTGGCCATGGACACCTTTCCGGAAAAAGTGCTTTTCCGGAAAAGCATCCTGCCAATCTAGACGCGCTTTTCCGAAAATGCTTTTAACGGAAAACTTTTCCGTTAAAAGCATTTCCGGAAAATCATGCCAGTGTAGACGTAGCCTATATAATGTCTTGCTTTGGCCCAGTATCCTTCTGCCTACCATGTCGGATTAAACTAATGGTAGGTCTAAAAGAGTATCCACAGCTCACAACTAGCTGATAGCAGATGTTCCAGGAAAAGGTGCAGCTCTTTCATTACACTCGGAGGCAGCCTTACTCCTTTCCCCCACTCCTCTCTGATAACAAGGAAATTCCTTTTTCTATCCAGCAGGTAATCAGTTTATACCCTATCACACGAGGAACGATTGATGTGGACGAGGGAGTAAACAAGCCAAATTCCCGGCAGAGAATGTTTGTGGGCTTAGTTACTACAAACACAAATATATTCCAGTCTCCATTTCAGGGTGAAGGACAGTGAAAAGAAGTGACTATATTGGGAACAGAGTTGGAGGAGGGCGGGGACACACAGAGGTTTTAGAAGCCAGAGAGTCTCTGGTTTCTCAATTCTCCTGTCCTTTACACAATTGTGTTTTAGCCAGTTAATGGCATTGTTTGCAGCTTTTTGTGTGTTAAAAAGTCGTGTTGATTTAGAGTAGCATTTCTCAGCCTTTTTGATAGCAGGGACTGCCTGGCTGCTTTCCTAAACTATAGCTTTGTCTACACACTGTTTAATGTGCAGCTGTGGCAGCTTTAATGCAGCAGCCTGGGTATTGGAAGCTGTGGATTTGTGAGGCTGCTCCAGAATGATTCAAATGCCGCCCAGCTGCTTACCAGACACCAATAGCTACGTTTTTTGTTTCTACTGGAGGAGCACATTTACACATGCCTTGGTGCATATAAAAATTTATTCCACACATGGATGGAAAAAATCCACACCTGGATGGAAAAGATTAGAGGGAACACTGGTCATGTCCCCAGCTCTGGGAGAGAGCTTTTCCAGTGCTTTAGGTAAACCACCTCCACAAGGGGAGTAATTAACTCTGCCGGGAACTTATCTATAATTTGCTGGGGTTGGCTATAATTTGTTGTGGGTTTTTCACACCCCTGAGTGAGAAAGTTACAGCGCAGTAAAGTGGCAGTGAAGACAAGCCCGATGTTAGGGAGATCTCGGGGACTGGTCAGGGTTCATAGGCTGGCCGTTGAGAAACACTGATCTAGAGAAATACCTTTTAAACGATTCCAAAATGGACCACAATAGATCAGGATAGGGTGAATGCCTGACAAGATAAATAAAAGAAAATTGGAGAGATGCTGTATAGAAACATCTAGATTCCTATGTCAATTGACTTTGATTCTTATCTGCTTCATTTTAACTACCCAATCTTCAGATACTGATTCCCTCTAGTTCCCTGTCTCCCACCCCCTCCTTTCCCCTCCCACCCCTTCTCTCCTATTTATTTTGGGTCTGCACATCCTAAACTCAAAACTCTGAAGAAGTGGGCTGTGCCCATGAAAGCTCATGATTCCATCCACATGTTTTGTTAGTCTGTAAAGTGCTACCAGACCAGTTGTTGTTGCTGTTGTTTTATACCCAGAATAGTCAGTGTGTGGCTTTGTACAATGATTCCCTGCTCTCCCCCCTTCAAAAGGGTGGGATGTATGAAGCAGCCTCCCCCCATCCCCATGTGGTCAATAGGAAGGAATTGAGGGGTGCAGATGCTGCTTATTTGGTGTATAATATCTCACAGCTCTGATTCTTCAGGGCCCTAGCACTTGATCAGATAAGAAACCTGTTTTCCAACAATCCACTCCATGCTGTGATCCCATGGCTTGTCACCAGGAATACAAGTTGTGACAACGAGGCACTGAAAAATAAGTTTGGTGTCCTATTTTTCTCTCAGTCACGCTATTTCCCGTAATAAGCAGCCAGCCTCTCATTGAGTGTAGAGATGTCGGAGGAGGGGGCAGAATTCTTGCAGCTCTTAATCATTCCCAGTATGGTGAAACAAGGAATTATTTTTTCCCCAGGAGAAGTTTGTATGTAATGATGACCCCAGTATAATCAATAGGGGAAAGGGGGAAAGTTAGTCAATTTTGGAATGGGGGGGGGTCTCTTTGGAAAATGGGAGAGTGTGATAGAGGAGCAGACCCTAAGTATAGTCAAAAGAAGGATTAGGAGATGCTAAAATCTGTCCCTGGTCTCTAGTGTGGGTTTGCAGGGGCTATGAAGTTCTATAGTCAGTATGTGAGAGGGGGTTGTGGGAGTGCCTCCATAGTCAGTGTGAGGGGAGAGGTAGCAGTGGAATTGATCCTTGTGATCAGTGTTGGGGGGCTGTAATAGTGCCCCCATAGCCAGTTGGGGGAGTGGTTGAGGGACTGTGGGACTGACCCCCTCAATGGTCAGAGGACTGGGGGAGTTGCCAGGGGGTTGTGGAATTGACTCCCCTATAGTCAGTGTGGGAGAACTGTGGAACTCACCCTGTCAGTGTGGAGTGAAGTGAGGGATGGCTGTAGAATTAACCCCCTTGGTCAGTGTGAGCTGTGGGGGCACCTGTAGAATTAACCCTGCCCACAAAAACTCATGATCCCATCTACATGCTTTGTTAGTCTATAAAGTGCTACCAGACCATTTGTTGTTTTTTTCTGTAACAGAATAACTCGGCTACACCCTGAAGCCTGTTGGTCAGTGTGGGGTGAGGTGGGGGGGTCTGTAGAATTAACCCCCATGATCAGTGAGGGGTGAGGTGGGGGGGGGCTGTAGAATTAACCTCCTTGGTCTGTGTGGGGTGAG